GGAAAATGTAAAGGAGTTCATCACCATCAAACCAATATTATATGAAATGCTGTAAGGTATCCTTTAAGAAGAGGAAGAAGAAGAGAAAGGTAAAGATACTAATTATGAACAACAAATACATCTATCAACAAGTGAATCTAAAAATCAAGTGAATGAATACTCTGATGAACAGAATGAACTGGTGATTATAATAGAATCAGGGGCATAGAAAGGGTATGGACTGACTATTCTTGGGGGGGAAAGGGGTGTGTGGGATGTGGGAAGAGACTGGACAAAAATCATGCACCTATGGATGAGGACAGTGGGGGTGAGGGCGGAGGGTAGGGTGGGAACTGGGTGGAGGGGAGTTATGGTGGGAAAAAAGAGGAACAAATGTAATAATCTGAACAATAAAGATTTATTTTAAAAAACACTCATAATGTATGCAAATACAGGTAAATCATCCACTAAAAAAAGACTTGTAAAAATATTAAGATCTAAAATCGTTGTTTATTACCAATCTGAGGTTCATTAGGTTATTTTTGCCACGTACACTTTTGAAAAGATAATCTATACTGTCTTTTTGCTATTTTTTAATTGTTCATTGTGCTTTTCTAGAAGCTACATCCAAGAGCTTAGCTATCTGCAAGATGCACTATATATTAAGACTGAAGAGAACATAAACTAGCTTTCTTTGCAAAAATTGACAGTCAACTATGGGTATCTACTGTTTCCTCTATTATTTAATAGCCTTGCACTTGAGTTACTTTTCTTTAAAAACTATCCACTTAAACCTTTATTTAATGAGGATGAAGAAAGTTCCTCGTTTTATATTTATCATCCATCTTGACTTAATTTTTGATTTTAGAAAGAGAGAGGAAGGGAGAGGGGGGAGAAACATCAATCAGTTGTCTTAAGTATGCACCCCCAACTGGGAATTGAACCTACAACCTGGGGATGTGCCCTGACCAGGATGAAAATAAAGGTAAATATCTTCATAACTTTGGTAGGCAAATATGCCTTAAAAGAAAATGCAGCCCTAACCAGTTTGGGTCAGTGGGTAGAGCTTCAGCCTGTGGACTGAAGGGTCCCAGGTTCTATTCCGGTCAAGGGCATGTACCTTGGTTGCGGGTACATCCCCAGGAGGGGGGGTGCAGGAGGCAGCTGATCGGTATTTCTCTCTCATCGATGTTTCTAACTCTCTATCCCTCTCCCTTCCTCTCTGTAAAAAAAATCAATAAAATATATTTAAAACAAAACAAAACAAAAAACCAAAATACAAAAAGTATTAATCAGAAAAGCAAATAGTAAATTGGACTTCAACAAAATTAAACACTTAGACTTTTCTTTAACACTAAGACAATGAAAAAACAAAACACTACTCCAGAAGAACATCTTCTCAATACATCCTTATCTAATAAAAGAGAAACATGGTAATTGGCGTACGACCGCTACCCTTCCCATTGGCTAATCAGGGCAATATGCAAATTAACTGCCAGCCAAGATGGCGGCCGGCAGCCAGGCAGCTTGAAACTAACATGAGGCTTGCTTGTTTCAGTGATGGAGGACTCCAACGTTCCCGCCTGCTGTTGCAGGCCTCTGAGCTGCAACTCTAAGCAATTATGTAACAAATATAGAAGCTAAACAAAACCCCAGAAACCTGCTTTAGTA